TATTATAATAATTAGTAGTTGGATTTAGATATTGATTATTGTTTATTTGAATCACTAATATGTTGTTTAATCATAAGTTATTTTTATTGTACCTTCATTGGCAACCAACAGACAGTTCAATTGGTAATTTAGAACACCACCACAAAACTGGGTACTTATCAATTGTGTCGAGTAGAATACTGCTGTTTGTTATCTTCTAGGAAGATACGAGAATTGACCCTCCCCATAAGTAGCTCCCGCACTGAGACTGGTGGAGTCTCACAAGCTCTCCAACGTTAGCTGAACAATCACGCTACCCACCAGCGGACGAGTGCAGCGAAGAGGGTGAGGCCTTTCTCCCAACCAACCGAAGCAGAAACACTTAAGTATTCCAGTTGCATATCTAATCTCATATAATCGAGACTGTCACAGCCAATTACATTGATTGTTTATAATTGTTAATTAAATATAAGTCATTAATGAAATTTTCTATTGTCTTATTTAATTCCAAAGCATACTTCCACAAACCAGTAACTTTTAGAATTTTGTGGGTTAACTATTACTAGTTACAACTACTAATGTATATGAGTTCATTAAATTTTAGAGAAAATTATTAAGAATTTTTTTATTGTGTTAATTTTATTTATTCTGTTTATTCTTTATTTTAAATCTATCGCCTATACTACAGTGTCATCGGAAAATCTTACGAGTTAAAAAAGTTCTTCTGTGTTAATATTTGTAAATAAAGCACTTTTTATATATAACTGTCGGATTTACCTTTGAGGTGAAACTATATTTCATTATAATTCCGAAAATAAAGCAAGAGAAGCAAGTTATTTTTATTTAGTTGGAAATACCTTTATAATTTTTAATTACGCACTTGAATCTCACTTCTAGTTAAGGCGTTTTTTCCCTAACAAGGCAGTATAACCATAGTATAAGGAAACTAGTAGCTTTACTCCTTGTCAAATCCTTTGTTCTTTTTCTGCAACTTTATATGACCTTGTTCTCGCGTCGCATGACCACTGACGTAGCTGTATAGTTGTGGTCTATAACTAAGCAAAGTATAGTCGTGGCACTCGCCATAGTTTCACAGAGATGTATTTAGGAAAATATGCGTTCACAATAAAATAAAATAAAAGAAAATGATTGCATGAAAAAATTTGCTTGAAAACAGAATATTTTCACATTTCGTGTAAGTAACAATTCTTCTGTCTCTGAAAATTTTCTGATGGGAAGAAATGCGGAAAAAATATATAATGACGTATTTTTATATTATTACTTATTTCAAAGATTTTCTACAACTTTTTTTAAAAATTAAAACAAGTTTAATTTTAACATTAATGTGTTTGTTTTGTAGTAATATATTGGTTAGGTAATTTTCATTGGATAACTAATACATTGAACAACACATTGTACTAAATAGTAAAATAACATATTTCAACTTATAAACTTATAAAAATAATTGCTAATAAACATTACAGAAATTTCAAAAGAGAAAAGAAGCAAGAACAATGAGAAATAGCATCACTACTTTCTCACGTAATAAAAGAATACATTTTTAGTTAATGTTATCGAGTCCCGAAGGTGCCGAAAGAACTGGGAATTAATCTCTGAACTCTAGTTACCATATTATCAAGAAATTATGTTTTTTAACTAAAAACTAAAAAACATTGCGCAGAAAAATCCTCATATTTCTGGGCCAAAATTCGGTACTAGCATTTTTTTGTTCAATGATGGTGCAGTTCGTTAAACAGCAAGCAAGGGATGGTTGGCAAATGTAAGATCGTTAAAAAATTGAGGTTTAAATGAAAATTGTAGCGTTTTATTTTTCTTTTTATAAAATTCCAAATTTTAATATTGCTGGCGCCATCTATTCGCTAGATGTTAAACTTCATTCAGTACAGGTAGCGGTTCCTTTCCATAAAAACAAATTTCATTCAGTATAGACGATAGAGTTCACTTAATTGCCTTTGGTCATATGACCTGTCAATTGGAAGACTTCCGTTTTGCGAAAAGGAGGAAGGAGGTTTTTTTCCGAGAGAAGGAGATCAGAAAAAGACGCGTGGTTCAGCGTCCGACGAATCTCAGAGAAAAAGGGCTTTCTGAAACACTTTTCCTAACAGTAAAGGCACGGGTATCCAAAAGTGGAGATTTGAAATCCTGTAGAATATACTGTTCAGAGCCTAGTTCGTGTTTTTTTTGGCCTTTTCCTGGAATAAGATCACATTATTCCCGTTTTTTATTTATTTTGATAATGTTTGATTGTGCATTACTGGTTTGGATCAGCATATAGTTTGGCTATATTTTGGAAGGTGTACAGCTGATTTTCAGACCTAACTGGCGTATAAGAAATTGACGTATAAGTAATTGGCATATGAGTAACCACTTTTGAGACAGTATTTATGACTCTACATTTATTCTACTGATATCGAAGACTCCTGCTACTATCGAAGAGTCTACATCCACTTCCGTTAGTCTGGAGACTGCCTGCCTATCTGTTCACTACGTCATAAATTAAAAAAAAAATACAGATAAGTTCTAAGTTCAACACACAAGGTATTCCCTAAATTTTTTTTACTTTGAGATAATATTTTGAATATCTCTGTGAATTGTTGTCATTTATTCCATATATTATAGTCAAAATTTACCTTTTAGTTAACATTATAAGTCATGCTTTGTCCTTAACGGTACGTTTTACTTCAGTATGATCTTTTATGTGAGAATCGCTAACACGGATTCATTTTTGAAGGTTATTGTACACGATTTGTTTCGAAACATCATCGTATTGGTACTTACATAAATTTCACCTGTTTATATATTACGTAGTATAGTATACTGAAGAGAACTTTAACTAAATTTGAGTTTACTTAAAGCAACTAACGATTTCATTGGGATAATTGAAACTGGGTTTAAACTGATTGATAATTGTGTTCGTTTTTAAATAAATGTTCAACGTAGGATAGTTATATCTGACTTTTTATTCTTGATGAACATAATAGACCCTTATTGCTGTTGATTATTTTATTTTAGCTATTTCATGATCAAATTTTCTTACTGGTTTCTTACTTTACCTTTTCATACCCAAAGTAAGTGGCGCTCTTTTTACTGTCTTTGACCATTACTATTTGAATACTTAACATCAATTTTAGAATCTTTGCAGCCTATACATTATTACTTTTATTTTATTATTTAACAACATTATTAAGTCACCACAGGTCACAAGCCTTACCTACGAACCCAGCTCTCCTCTAACCCTGAGCAACGGATACATTTTTCTTTCTGTTTGAGTGATGACAGAAAAAGTCGTCACAAAATAATATCAAATTATTAAGTAGTAATCAGTCATGAGAAAATTGACAAAACCTGAACACAAACATGATCACAAATGACCCTCAAAAAAAACTCAGCACAATTTTTTGAATTATTACTACAACCAATAGCAGCACACGGCACTCATTTTTTGTCAATCCGTCTCTGTGCAGGGACGCAACGCTCGAACCTCGCAGGTCGACGGACGCAAGTCAACTGAAACGCTCTGCAATCTGCCGATATTCGACAGATTGTAAAAACTGGCCCAAAATATTTGGGAGAGTGCAACTACTGTTTTCCTTCTACTATGGTATAGCTTTAGAATCGAACCATCGTATACTGTGAAATTATGCACAAGCATTCTTCCTTCTACTCTTCAGAACCATTCTAAGCCAAGTTTTGCTTTATATTTTAACCGATAACAGTGTATTTGTTGCTCGATATAGGCATATTATTCACATTAAAAAAATACGCAAGACAATAAATATTTTGATATTTAAAAAATTATGAGAATTTTGAATTACAGTTACTAGTTATCTTTCTGATTCTTTTCAAATACATTTCTGGAATTTATACTCAAATAAACGAAACCAAAAAATGTACGAATTTCAACTTTCTTTGATTAATTAAATAAATGCATTTATTGTCAAAAAAATTTTACAATTTGTAGACCAAGGTAAAGTAAACAAACGAACAAACAAAAGAGAATATACAAATTAAGTGTACAATTAAGTATACAAAACAAGTATACAAATTAATTATCAGTCTTATTGTTTAAAATAAACATTTATAAATGTTTACAATATCAAAGAATAAAAGAATAAAAATAAGAATCAAAAATATTTAGTAAGTTTATATTAAATATAGTAATAGCAAATATTAGACCAGTGCTTACAAGATCAAATTCGATTATCAAAATATAAGTCATTTACGGCGTAGAAAGCCTTGTCTAGTAAATAAGATTTCAATGCTTTGCGAAATGAAGAAAATGTGTTATGGATTTGATTTCAAATGGCAGGTGATTTTTTTCGAGTTGTATAATATTGAACTTTTAACTAACTCTGAGCGTGGGGTAGGTAGAGAAAGATCTTGCTCCGCTTTCCTGGGTGGATAAGTGTGAGATGGCCTTTCTTGAGAAACTGATACATGCTTACGTATTAGGCAAACGGATTCAAAAATAAATAAGGAAGGAAGAGTTAATATTTTTAATTTTTTAAAAAAGTCCTGGCAATGAGTTCTGCTGTTTAGTCCCAGTGAATATCGAATAGCTCTCTTCTGGAGCTTGAAAATGCGGTTAAATTGAGGCGCACAACCAGAATGGAAGGGCATATCTGAGGTGCGACTCAACAAGTGCATAATAAACAGTTCTAGCCACTGACAAGATAAGCTCCTTAGAAACAGATCTTAATGCAAAACAGGCAGAGCTTCATTTTTTCGACAAAGCGTCGATATGCATGTCCCATTTTAGAGAATTGTCTACAACAAGTCCTAAGAATTTGACAGATTTTACGACGTCAATGGTGGTTTTGGCGACAAAAAGCTGCAGGCGAGTTTTTATACGACAAAGCTTTAGTTTTAGAAATGTTGAGACTTAGGAGATTCGAATCGCACTAAGATTTAATGGTGATTAAGTCATTTGATATAATCCTATGAATTTATGATTTAAAATTGTTTTCTGTTACTACAAGGTTTTAGGTGTTAGTACTTACATAGTTTCAGCCCTGGTAGTATTTAATGGTGCTAAAGAATCATTATAAATAGTGTAACGAGGTGACTGAGTAGTAGTTGGTGTCCATACAGGCACTCTGTGTTCTGGTTTCAAAATATTGTCATTGAACGAACTGTTTGAGCAACCATCAGTATTGAGTGGGAGAACAGCTGCTGGAGGCTTGTCAACTGTGAGTCCGCCGAAGGTTATCCACAGAATAATAATATGTCCTACGATGACACCCACTGATGCGCCCTGAAACAGAAAGGATAACACTATAGATTTGATAGAAAATTAAAGTTTCTGTAAAGGTTGTTTCTGCTAAGATTTTTAATTTTTGAATGTCCTGCTTTGTATTCAACTGAGATATTTTAAAGAGACAGGAATTCAGAATCATTTGCCATGAATTATTGCTTCAAGCGTCTGAAACTAATGCTGTATTAACATATTCTTGGAGTTATAGACTAGTTGACTTGAATTTAATTGATGATAAATGGTTATAAGTGATTTTTCATTAGACACTTCATTAGAATATTATAATTCACCCCAAAAAGTCCTATATGGGTATTTCGCCACTGCAAGAAAATCTACAAAATAAAATAGTTATTTTTTTGTAAACTCTGTTACAGACTAACAAATTTGTTTAACGAACAAAAAAAATGCTTACTGTTTCGGTAGTAGTTCTTTCCGTCATCGAAAGCAAAAATACAAAGAATAACGAAAAGAAACTATTTAAAATATTTAGATGCCACTATTCCAGGACACTTTAGTATTTTTAAACAGATACGTATACAAAAACCGTTGACGTTCTGTTAAAATGACATTATATCAAGCTAAACTTCAAAATTAACAATAATTACCAAATAATTACTTAATAGAGTAAAATCAAAAAGTCCCAAACTTCCTGTATAACTATTTTAAATTTTTACGTATGTTATGTTCTTTAACAGCGATAAATTTTACATTGGTTAACCATCTAGACCCTTAAATGTTCGAATTAAAGAACATAAAGATTATTATTTAAGAAAGGGAGATTTTCACAAATCTAAGATTTGTCAGCATTCATGGGACACAGGGCACAGAATAAATTTTAATTACGCCAAAATTATAATGGAAGAAGCCATAGATTCTAAAAGAAATAAAAGAGGCTTTTTTGTACAATCTAATAAAAATAAATGTATCATGCATCTGTAGATGTTAGTAATATATGGCAATCGCTCCTTTGATTTTAAAGAACATAATATAAATAAACATAACATACCAAAAAATTAAAAATAATCATACAGAAAGTTTGGGGATGGTTGGGGCTTTTGGTTTTACCTTATTAAGTAATTGTTATCAGGTAGTTATTGTTAATTTTGAAGTTTAACTTGATATAATGTCATTTTAACAGAACATCAACGGTTTTTGTAGACGTATCTGTTTTAAAAAACTAAAGTGTCCTCGAATAGTTGAATTTAAATATTTTAAATAGTTTTTTTAACCGTTACCTAACCTAACCTAACCTAACTAAAGGACTATAAGGAAAAGATTAAATGAAGCAAATCTTATGTCAAGAAGGCCTGCTTCCGGACCAGAACTTACTAGATGTGTTGACTAGGCCCAAAAGCAAAGGCATGGTCTTAATGTAAAAATTACAATTTCCAACAAAAATAAAGCTAAATAAGCTCCCAAAAATTTCACTTCAATACAAACCTTTGTTCTCCTTGCAAAAACCGCGTCGTATATGATGCGCCACCCTGTATAATTCGATTTCAATCAAAATTTCAATGATTCGGATATAAGCAGAATAGGTACAGCTTATGCCTTAGATTTAATTATTTTAATAAATTTACTTAGAAAAAGAATTAAAAAAATCAAAAAAATAAAAAGGAAATAATTAAAAATTTTCTAAAATTCCTAAAATAAAAAATTAAAAGCAACGAAAAAAAAAGGTAAACATTTTAGTATTTCCATAAAAAATTGATTGTTTTTCTAACCAATCTTTATAATTATTCTCCTTTTATTTTCATCGACATCCTGACATATAAAACTGATATTTCGCTGAACGCATACGACTTCTCTCGCATACTCGGTCATAATCCCTATCGACGTTTGCCCACTTCGCCGATTAAAGCCAGCAGATAGTGTAAAAATCTGCGCTCTGCTGCAGCCACGCTGCAAAGGGCATCGAGAATCGCAAAGCGAATGCGACAAGCGAAGGGCTGTCCATTTGGCCGTCGGATATCGGGCGGATTTCCATCGAATTGATGCGATGTGAATCGAGCAGCCCGCGGCTTTATTACTCTATGGATAGTTAATGAAGCAATGGTGGAGAATGAGGCAAAGGTACGATAGCAGTTGAGCAGATAATGTTAGAAAAGGGTAAAAGAAGTTGATATTAATCTGAATAAATAAAACAAAGTCGGGGTTTTGTTAGGGGGCCTTTTTTATGATTGTAAATAATTTTTAAGGTGTTAACGTTGAAATTAATCGTGAAAGTCACTTCGAAAATTTTGGTATTTGGTCGGTACATTATACCAACAAAAAAAATAAAGGTGTCAATATTTGTGTCTAGCCCTAGCAGGCAACTATTAAGCCCGACCAAGCACGTTAGAGTTTTTGACAAACACAAATGAATTAACACTCTTCAAATAACCACGCTAACCAACCTGATTGGTCAAGCTTAAAAGTTGACTGCTAGGGCTAGACACTTCTGGTGTCAATATGCAGGGTGGTCCGAACTGTATTCCGGAAACTTCAGCGGTATATTCTGCAGATAAAAATAAGTAAAAAGGTTTGTATAAATGTATGTCCTAAAATGCTTAGTTTCGGAGATACAGGGTGTAAAAGTTTTATTTTTATTTCGATTTTTTTCAAATAATTTCTGAAGTTTCTTTTCTTCACCGGAAATGATCACAACTTTTGATTTTTAAATAGCAGCGTCGGTATTTTTTTACTTTATTCGATAGAAAATGACACTCTGAATAGAATGACATATCATATTTTATGTCAACTTTTGACATTTTCGCATATGGTTTATTTGAAATTGTAACCTGCGGTTCATAACGACAATTTGACTCGAAATACCAAGTGTGTGGTATCAAATTATTCATAAAAATATGCTTTTTCTATATATGCTAATGAGCCACCCTCGTTCCATTTGAAAAAATTGAGATTTGATTAAAAATACGATTTGGGTATCTTTTAACCGGCCAGGACAAGACACTAAAAACACTAGACGGTCAAATCTAATTTTCCAAGGCTCCTTGATTAAAAACTAGTGTTTTTAACACAGCCATGGCACTCTAGATTGAAATTTAAAATACAATTACTCAATCTATTCCGAGAATGAAAATTTTTCTATCGAATAAAATAAAAATATACCGAGGGTGCCATTTAAAAATCAAAAGTTGTAGTCATTTCCGGTGAAACAGGAAGTGACCGAAAATAACTGAATACGTCAATCAGTCCTAATTTATGTCATATACTAATATACCAAATCTCGTTTTTTTATCTAAAAAAAATAAAAAAGTTATAGGGGTGCTCACTTTTGAGACGCACCCGGTATATAATTTGATGAGGGTCCTATTCATTGATGAGTAATTAATTCCCAGAGAGAATGCGGTGATTTAGTGTTTTAATTTGATTTTACTATAAAGATCCCCTTTTTTACCATTTTTTATAAAAAAAAACTAACCATCCACAAATAGTAATTAAAATTAATCGGATCGATCTGCATAAACTTTTCAACAGTTGCTTCATTTACTTCTTCGTTCCAGTCGTCCAATAATCGGGCGTCGCAGTTCAAAATTCACCCGGACTAGCGAGCGCAAAGTTGGAAATTTTAATGTGCCGAGATCGAGATCTATTAAAAAAGTTTCCAGCCGGTGGTGAATTAGCAAATTTCGAAAGGACCCGCGCTAATGATCGTTCGAGAAGTTAAAATGGCGAATACTGAAGGGTTTTTGGTAGGGATGTGGTTAATTAAAAAACGTATCGATGTTTGATCTTTCATTTTGCGTCAAAAGTGGCTCACCCCTTTTTATTTTTCGCGTAAAAAACGAGATCTGGTATGTTAGTTATATGACATAAATTAGGGTTGATTGAGGTATTCAATTGTTTTTGGTCATTTTTTGTTTCACCGGAAATGACTATAAATTTTGATTTTCATGACACCGTCGGTATTTTTCTACTTCATTCGATAGAAAAATGACACTGATTAGAAAGTCATATTATATGTCAACTTTTGACATATTTTCATATGGTTTATTTGAAATTGTATCATGCGGTTCTAAGGATAACTTGACTCGAGATATCAAGTTTGTGGTACAAACTTATTCGTAAAAAATTGCTTTTTCCAAATTTGCTAATAAGCCACTCCCGTTCCATTTGAAAAAATTGGCACCGGGAGGCACGTATAGCCGCCCATACTAAAATATGTTAATAACAAGTTGGTAGGCAGTTCTTTTAGTTTCAAAGTAATGGAATTTTTCCAATTTTTTTTATCTCAAAAACTGCGACTTTTGTTTAGTAATTTCCGGTGAAACAGGAAATGACCAACAATTGAACACGTCAATTAATCCTAAATTATGTCATATAACAACATACCAAATCTCGTGTTTTATCTAAAAAAATATAAAAGTTATAGGACACTTTTTAGACGTGCCCGGTATAGTAGCTTTAATATACTACCTATTTAGTATTCACCCCTAATTTTACCCCCATATCGGATGAATTTTCAAGTATCGATTTTCAGTGCTCAGTTGCATTATTTAAGAGACCTTTTGGCAAAATTTTGTACTCGTACAACAAACATTCAAATTTGTTATATAAGCTTAATTTCACCCTTAATTTTACCCCTTTAGGGTATAAATAAATAATCCTTTTTTAATACTGATTTACGTCACTTAAGCAAAATTTCATATCATCGATTTTATCATACTAAAAAAAGATCTCTAATATCACTCATTTAAATTCGAAAAATTGCTTCTTCATGCTCAATTATCCACTTAAAGAGCTTCTTTTTGTTTAAAGAAAATTTCGCACAACTAGAACAAATTGAAAAATTAAAAATATGTAGTCCCAGCACTAACTAATCACTGAGAAATTACGTATATCCAAAAAACGTTAAAAGTTATCTATATTCGTAAACTATATCGACAATATGAATATCGATATGTTTATACAGCCCTAGTATGTCGAAGTTTTGGACAGAGTAGATTATTGAAGGAAAATTATGTTATTGTTCGATTTAAGGCATATTAAAACATAAA